CCCCAAAACCCCAAAACCCCAAAACCCCATTTAGCCTGAATCAGAATTTTTGTAAAATTAATCGAGGAAATAAATTAGTGTCTAAATAAATAAATAATCATAAATATGCAAGCTAATGCAATGAGCGATCCTTATGGAATGAATTAGATATAAATTAAGGAATACAGCAGATAAAAGAATCAAGGGATGAATTTAAAGAGAGCTGAATCACATCAAGCGAGAAATCATAATTCTAGTCTATCTGTGTATTCTCTTCCAGGGATTAATAATAATGGAAGCAATACTAGTTTTTCTGAAACTGAAAGTGTACATAGAAATGGAAAGAGAGGAGAAGTAGCTCATCACAGAGAGTCATCTCAAAAATTGAACGACTCTTATGGAGATTATATTAGGAAGAAGGAGTTATTTGGAATAGATGGGTATAAGGTTCCTTCAAATAAGGCTCTGATTATACCACCAAGAACTTTCAAATTAGTGAAGAGTGAAAAGCAGAGCAGATCGTTTGTAGATGTTGAGGTTAAAAATAGATAATTCATGCCTCCTCCAAATTACTATTAAACTCCTTCAGATTGGAAGAAGCAGCAAAATGAGTATTTATATGGCGGAAGTCCACTTAAGGGTAAGTTTTTAAAAGGAAATAGAGTCACACTATCTGCTGAAATTATTAATTAGAATAAAAAAGAATCTATGCCAGGCCCTGGATCATATGATAGTGCACAAAAATAAAAGCTAACTGGCTTGTATAAAGTAAAAGAAGAAAAAAGTTAATTTATTGACGATGCTAAGTACTTTGGATTACAAACACCAGGCGCAATATATAATCCTAAGGTAGAATATGTGAAGCCAAGAATTATCACCACAAAAGTTTATGCTGACAAAAAAGACAAAGATGACACAAAAATTAAGAAATCTGATGCCCCCTGCCCAGGTCAATACGATGTAGAGAATTCTTATGCCAAGACTCAGTGGACCAGCAGAGTACCATAATTCACTAAAAGGAATCATAAGAGCTTCATCGACATCTACAAAAAATCTAGAGATTTTCTACCAGGGGTGGGCTCATATCAAAATATGGAAAATGGCTTTAATAAATTAAGTTTTAACCCCCCTAGTATTAGAACTAAAAGACATTGATTTAGTTTATAAGGTTTGATAGTGATCATTTAAATAATATACAATTATTGTTTATGATATGATAATTTATAAAAATGTTCTTATAATAATAATATATATTTGTTGCATTTTAAATGTAGTCTGAGTAAAAACCAATAAGTGAGCTGACAATCAAGAAGAAAATAATGGAAACTCTCAGGAGCTTATGTGAATTCTAGTTTATTGAGACCAGATAAATGCAGGATAGATATGCTGAGTTATTCACAGGGGAGAATTACAATCCTGAATCTGGCATTGCCTCCCAATATTACAGAATGTGTTATGATTAGGAATTGTAGAGAATAAGAATTCAAGGCACTCTTTGTGTGATTAATCCTTATTTCATTGAACCATCAGATGAAATTGAAGCCAAGAAAAGCTTATTCAATTTAATCAAATTAAAGCATGAATAATAGAATTCAATGATTTCAAGCTGGTACATTCCCTATTTGTTGATAATAAATAGCTGCGAAGACTATTTCAAAGCTATTTATCAAGCTGAGTAAACTATTCACTATCAGATTTTAATAAAGAATGAAATTGCTGAAGATGAAATAATGGAGGATTCGACATTTGATTAAACAAAAGATAATCTACACTAGCAAGCTTAGGAATAATCCTAAGATTCTCTCTAAATAGGAAAATTTAAAAGAAAATCAATTACTAAGATCAAGAATTCCAAAATTAAAAACCTAATATAAGAAGGAATCTCTAAGTTCTCAAAAAAGTCAAAAAGATCTATTACTAAAATTAAGGTCTCTGCAATAAAAGCAAAGGGAAAAATTAAGGATAATAAGAACAAAAAAACATAGGCAAAGAATAGAAATAGTATTATTTCAGCAACAAAATGAAAGAATAAGAAGATTTGAGAATCATTGTAGTCAGCAAATCAGACCATCCTTGAAGTTTTATCTTTGATATTTAAACTTGATTCAACTCTGGTATTTCATAATTTATTAAGTATTTTAATTGGCTTTAAATTAATCAAATTAATAAAACTATTAATTATACAATTCAATTAGTTCAATCCGATTAACGAATTATCAAGGCAATTTTTCATCTTAAATCAAGATCTCCTCAGTAACAAATTCATCATCAAAGTTAAGCTTATTTTCTCTCTGCGTTTTAATTAGCGTCATATTAAGAGATTGGATAGGATCCTTTAGCTTTTTTACTGTGCTCTATTTCGGTTTTTTCTTAAAAGCAATTTAGGTATTAATTCTCATATTGGTTAAATAAGGAGATTATTTGGGAGAATTTTTAATTGACAATTTCTTGAATGTCTTTGATTCATTCCGCCTTTGAATAGTTTAAAATTCCACCTAATTCAATTATAAGCCAATTGAATGGAAATCCAAAAGCAAATCTTAATCAAAATTACTTCTAGATTATTTAGATGGAGCCATTGAACCTCTAAATCTGGCTAGTTCCCTTCTTCTTTGATCGAGTTCTTCAAGTTCTTAATAAATATTACTTCCTTTGCTTTTTTATTGATATGACATGTTTGGAACTTAGAGAAAATCCAAACCTATTGTATCATCAATTTTTTACCTCCTTAATATTCTTCTATTTTCTTAATACTTTCTTTTAAAGTACCTTTATAGCTTTATAATTTTCGACATAGAATTAGAATTATTTTCTAATTTTTTCGAAATATAATTTATTTTTAACTCCGAAAATCCTTGTGCAATTATTTAAGTTGACTAGACTCGATTAAATATTTACTCCAAAATTTCATTAAAAATCTTGGTTGCTTTTTTACGCCTTGATTCTTTTAAGCTTACCATCATTTTTTAAAGAAAAATTTATCTTCTAGTACTATATCCTCTCCAGTATTTTTAGATAAAATTCGCAGCACAATTTTGCTTAAATATCTTGTCAATTTTTCTTTCCAGCTTTAAGGACATTTTTTAACCAGCTATCTCAAATAAATAATTTTTTTAATTGGTATTAAAGTTTAAAGCAGTAGTCTGTTATACTTAATTGATGTTCGCTTTCAAGTTATTTTGCTTTGTGGGACTACTATTTGATTTCTTTTTTTTATCAAGAGAAGATGGTTTCATTGGTATCTTTGACCATTAATTTATCTGAGATTTTATTTTCTTATTTTGATAATCCTCAGCTAATAAACCTAATTGTCCATTAAATTATCCACAAAGTACTACTTTCTTTTCTAAAATGGAGATTAGCCCATCTGCCATATCATCCAGCATTTCTGTAAGCCATGGAGTTCTTTCGGCACATGCAGGAGACATATTTGCCTCAATAAGCCAGCAATTTAATTTCTTATCAATGACAAAATCAAAACCATAAAGTTCAAAACTGTTACTTCTATTCTCAATATTTTCTGCTACTGAATTCAAGGTTATTTTAACTATATCTGATATTTACTTAAAGAAGTGGTCCCATGATGCTTGCTCTCCATTTATTTTAATATTTTCTTTGTTAAGATATTCAATAAAATCCTCACAGCTCATTACCAAATCAGTAACGACTGTGTCTTATTTATTCTTCTAAATTGAATAATTGCTAATGTGCTTAAAAGGATCAGAAACATCCTCAAGGTCATAAGATGATCCGCATATTCTCAGATAGGCTTTCTTATAAATATATATTTTCAAAGGATCAAAACTGCTAACAAAGACCCATTATCTCAAATCAAATTTTCTCTAATCAGTAGGATGTTAAGGATTCATATTTTTAAGTAAGAGAGATTTCTCTATATATTTTTAAACAATTTTTGGAGCTGGACTTTTCTTGGATGAGCCATTGAAGAGATCCTTTATACTATTAAAACAAAATATACCTATACCTCTAGCATTATAGCTAGGCTTGCATATCCATGTATTATGATAACTATCTATTGCTCCATATTAATAATCATTGATTTTTAGTAGTTTATGTAGCTTATAGGTCACAAACATCAAATAAAAACTGGGATAATCCCAACTAGTAAGTTTAGTTAAGATCTAATGACTTTCGGGAACTTCATTTATTGGCATAGATAAATTTGTATACAATAACATTAACTCCATAATTTTATCTTAAAATTCATATCTCTCTACATAAAAATCTTTTTTTATAAATTCATCACCTTCACATTTCTCTGTAATATCATTGATAACATTTTTTGCATAAAATAAAGCATTTTATAGGAGTATCAGGTTAACAGTTCCTAATTTTAATTTTTCTTGATCATCTGGAAATTTATTGTAGTATTTTCGTTTTAATTCTCTTTTAGCTTAATTTTTGTAAAAATTGTCATTAATTTTGCAATCTTCTTAATAAATAGTTAACAGCTATTGCTTGAACAAATTTTTAAAATGCTTAGCATGTCTCTTTACTATATTAAGAATGGCTGTTCTATTGAAATCTTCCTAAAATAAATCAATCTGTCTAACATCTGAAAAATCATAGCAGCGAGGATAGAACTAAAATATATCTATTCCATGTTAAGTTATATTATTGATATTTTTATTTAGACCTTATTTAGTGGTTAGCTCTCTCCCATCTGGAAAATGATTGTAAAATTGATTAGGTTTCATATTATTATACTCTCCTTAATTATCATTAAAGTCCCACTTAACATCGAAAAATGATGAATTTTAAATAGGATTTTCGAACCAACCTCTTTTAATTGCTGCTCTTTTGATATGCATATCTCTAGAATTCAAAAGGAAAATAATTTTATCGTCTCCATCGTAACCATGCCTTTTTAAAAATGTTCTCATCATATCTCTCTCTCTTCTATTTAAATCCATTTTATTTTTTTATTAATTCTACACCTTAAGAAATACATCAAGTTATTAATTCCTGTCTCTCTTTTACTTTAAATCATTCTTGTACGATGTCTAATAGAAATTTTGGACTTGCTAACTTTATATTGATGATAGTTCTTTTGGATTATTAGATGTATCTCTCTTTTTCACAGGAGTATTTTTCTCATTTTAGGGAATAGCTTGTGATTATTATCTTTAGTTATTTGTAAAGTTATTATAATCTGGAAACTTTTGATTATCCTCAATTGTGGAGTAGTGTTTGCTTTTGTTTTTGCTACTATCATCTCCATCATTTAATGTTTATTCATTTATTTTTTGCAGATCTTGAGTACTTTATGAATTAGGATTACTTTTTAATTTTTCTAGTTTGCGATGGTTATTATTGTTACTTGTGCTACTAATATTGTGATTATTACTGATAGATGTAGATTTAGTGCTTTATTTTTCATGATTCTAAACAAATTCTGCACCTTTCTAATCGATTTCTAACTTTTTTTAGGAGTTCAGAGGATATTTTTAACTAATTGTTGTTTCTCGTTTTAGTGCTTTTTATGATAACTCTTTTTATTCTTCAAATTGTTTTTTTAGCTGACTTTTATTATTTCTGAGAGGAAAATTTTGATGAGAGTTTTCATTAATTTTGAGTAAGTTTTAATATTGATTGCCATCATCAAAATTCTTTGATAGTCTAAGATTTGATACAGCAGTACTTGGATGCTTGCTTTCTACCATTATTTACTCTGGGATAAAAACATTATTCTATTTAGTTGATGGCTATAGGTTGATGCTATTCGTGTTTTCTTTAATGATTATATTCATGATCTCTTTTTTGTAATTTTTCAAGTTATTAAATGAAATTCGATTGTCACCAATGCCTCCTCCATTTTCTCTGCTCTTGCTTTAATTCACATTTTAAATGCTTGGTAATTTCTAGGATGCTTCATTACTTGGCAATCTCTTCTGCTTTATATTATTATACCTCTCAGCTGCAGCAATTTATTTACTATTCTCATCCTTGAATGATCTATTTGCCTCTGAGCTGCTTATTCCACTAGGGAAGTAAAAACTGTCCTCAGTCTTAATGACCTTTTGCTTCTTTGATGACTATGCTAGAATGGGTGTCTGATCTTTTAATTTAAATGTCTGACTATTGATTCCTTTTTAGACATTGCTAGTTATATTTGGTCTTGGAGGCTTCTCCTATTGATTGTTGTTATAGATATCTGTTTCGAAATTCTTGAGTTGAGTTTTCCTCTGATTCGACTTTAGGAAATCCGCCTACACTTGATCAGAATATTCATGACCTGCTTATTTGTAGAGTTATTTCATATTTTGTAGGTTGCTTAGAAAGTGACTCTCTGTTCTCGATTCTAGTTAAGCCTTAGAGTCACTATAGTTCTAAGAATTATTATTCTTGTGAAATGGCTAACTTAACTCAGCAACTCTAACATCATTTGAAGTAATGTTTGATTATGCCTTATTAAAATTTGATTACTGCATTAATCGAGAAGAAACATGTTTCATATTCTCTATTTGCTTCATATTATAAATGTGTCTTTAAGTTGAATTCGTGTTATCCAAAAATGTTGGTATTTATGGTTCGTCTGATTCCTCTGCTGTGGCTGCTAATATTTCCTTATACCTTGTTATACTGCTGAATTCCTGTTCCTTTTTCTTCTAATAAGGATAACTGTTTCTTGGTTCCCTGCTGTTATAGTTTGTATCGCTCTCTTGGCTACCTTCATAATTAATTATCTTTAGTTATTATAGTGATGACTCATCCATTGAAATCTATTCTTTACTGTACTCATTGGGCATGATCCCAGGATAGTTTAGAATCAAGAGTGAGTCATCTGTTTTCTATGAAAATAGCTTGGTTGTAATGCCTTGCCTTTGAATAAGTGGCATTTGCTGCTGAATATTCTGCTCAAACTTTGTCTTTTTCTTCTTGTTGGCTTTCTAAAGATAGATGCTCTTAATTTTTTCTTCTTAGAAGTAAACTTATGGATTAAGTTGACTAGACAAATACTAAATTTGCTATTGCTGTTGCTGTAATTATTAAGCAAAATAATTCTTTTGTTTCTTTTTTGACATCTATTTTTTAATTGATTGTTAAATTTTATTATTTTAGAATTTCCATTTGATGGGGTTTTGGGGTTTTGGGG